TTGCACCTGGCACTGGCATCGTACCAGCCCGTGCCCCTTTAAGGGGTCCGGGGCCGGGAGGGGGGCAATAGAGTTTCCCTGGTGTTGGCCAGAGTGGCCACCAGGGAAAGCTGGGGAGGGCTAGCCTCCCACTAGTTCGAATTAAGGGGCTACACACCCCTTAATTTGAACTAGTAAGTTCGAACTAGGCGTTAGTCCTTGTAGAATGAGGTTTACCTAGTTCGAACTAGCAGAGTGCTAGTGTAGCGCCTATCAAAGTTAGTTCGAACTAAGATCCATTAGTTCAAATTAACTTTGTAGTGTAGACATACCCTGTCTCTACACTCTAGATTCTGGTTGTGATGAAGTGGGAATGTTCTTAAATTTTGTCTCCTCTAAATACTCTGGGTGCCTCGGTTTCCCTACTTTACTCAAGCATCCAGGTGGGATGATATGGGTACATGATGGGCACAGAGATGCCCCAGAGGCCTTGACTGCCCATGAGCACAGAAACCAACCAACATACTGTACCCAGGCACCCTACCCTGCACACAGCTGGAGAACAGAGAACCCAGGGGAACAGTTTGCCTAGAAAAGATACAAAGGGGGTGCAGGGGCAAGACAGAAGCTGAGCACCTGATTCGAGTCAGTCTCCTGGTTTGGGACTTTATCCTGCAGGTTCCTGTTCCCTATGCTAACAAGTTGTGCATATCCCTGCCTAATAACCTGTCACCCACTGACTAGGAATTGCTGATGGTTGCAGGTGGGGCCCTGTGGGGGCATGAGGCTTTCCCAGAAGCCCCCACTGTGGGAGTCTCATGGGGTGAGCGGGATGCCTTGAGCTAAGATCCAGAACATGCCAAAGCTGAGCAGGTTCCTTGCCTGGTTACAGGGGCTGCCCCCAAACCCCACCTGCCTTCCTCTGGAGTGGTTCTGAGCCCTGAGCCTGCATTTGGGGCCCATTGTTCCCAGGAGCCTCAGGGTATTCTGAAAGAGCCAGGCTGGCAGAGAAGGGTCTGGTGGGAGGGCTGGGGTGAATGGAGAGCCCAGGTGTGGCTTCAGAGAAGAGGAAGTCACCCCATTATTGGCTCAGAGGTGATCCTTAAGGGTACATCTACACTACCTTATTTCAAACTAACTTAGTTCGAACTAAGCTAATTCGAACTAACGGATCCAGATTAAAAAACTAGTTCGAATTAGCGTTTTGCTAATTCGAACTAGCATGTCCACATTAAGTGGACCCTGAACCAGGCTTAAGGATGGCCGGAAGCAGTGCTGGCAGGGCATCAGAGGAGGACTTAGAGCGTGGAGATACTGTCTCAGGCTAGCCGAGGGCTGTGCTTAAAGGGTCCTGACCCCCACCCCGGACAGACAGTTCTCAGGGGTGCCTCGCTTGCAAAGCAGTCCTGGCTTG